TTATTAAGATTATGGATATTCAATTTTAATTTCCTTTTTTAAAAAAACAAACAAAGAAAGTGGGAAAATACCATTAAACCTCCACAAAGAACATATCAATAATTTCCAAAATTTGGAAGGATATTACTCAGCTTTTATTTGCAATGGTGAGGATCCAATGCAATTCTTTTATATGATTTTTTTTTAAGGAAAAAGTGGCTTTTTCTATGATTTTCTTATATAATTATCTGACGGGCATTATCAAGCTTAATTGGGGGTATCTCTCCCAGAGGTATTTTCTTACATTTACAAGAATTTAAATCCAAGATTTTGCGTTTAAACAGCCATAGTTTTTCTTCTAGAATCAACGTTTATCATTATCATTATCATTATCATTATTTGACAGAATTGATTGTTCTATCAATCCACTACAACACTGTTGGCCCAAAAAAAAAATCCACTGTAATACCAAGTACGGCGGTGCAAAAGATTTTGTTTTGTTTTGTTTTTGGATTATATTTGAATTTGGTAATAAACCAAATACGCAAAGGAAAATTATACTCCATTCCTTCAAAAATATAAGGCATTTTTAATCAAATTTTACCCTTAATAAAGTTTTCATTTACTTTCAAACTAACCCTATTTTTTTATATTCACTCCTATTAACTACCTTATAATAAATATAAAGTCACCATCAATAAAAGCATTTTTGAAAAAAGATAATGATTACACTTTAAAAGATTAAAAATACTTTATATTTTTAAACGAAAGAAGTACTTAAGAATCAAATTGGCAAGTTAATTATTAAGAAAGAACCCAAACTTCTGAAATTATTTTGTAGGACCAAGGTTTATAGATAAAAAATTTTGATAACACCAAAATAATCATGAACAAATAAAAGTCATATGAGATATTTTCCGGCGTTGTCAAAAAATAAAAGTCATGTGAGACGATTTAGTATAATCAAATTACCTATTTAGCTATTTCATGAGAAGTTGTACAATCTTTTCTTTTCTGTTTTTCTTTTTAACTTCTCTCACAGCATCTCCTTAGTCTAATATTTATTTATTTAAATATTTTCAAATTCAATTGGTGAAAGGTTTTCTCTCTTAACTCTTTCCACTACATGCTTTAGTAAAATTCAATCCAATAGCTCATACTTTCGCTACTAACTAAGCGTAGTTAAACTGTGTGTTCAGCCCAATAACTATACGATCACATAAATATAATTTGGGCTTTAACATTTTAATGGACCACCAATTAAGACATTTTAAAATAACAACAAAATAATTAATGTGAGTTCACACAATTAAATTTTCCAACACTGCTCACATAATTTAAATTCTAAATAATAATCAAGTAATAGAATTTTTTCCCTAAAAAAATATATTGATTCCAATAAAATTTCAGGTCAAAAACATTAAAAAATGAAAGAAGATTTTAAAAAAATAAAACTAAAGAAATAGGTTGCAAAAATAAAGTAGAATGTAAATAAAGAAAAAGAATTGAATCCCATGGAGAAAAACAAAACAAAAAAGAAATTAAATATGGAGTCAATCCAAAATACAAACCTTATGAATAGTTAAAGTCATACGACATCTTCAATTAAAAATATCATCGCTAGAACTAATACTCGTGATGTCACCATTCTTCAATACAATCATTTCTCTCTTGTTTGGACATCGAGAAGCAGTATGTCCATGTCCCAAACACTTGAAACATGTGGTATCATCATTTTCAATTTTTAGGAAACGAAGGAAATTATTTGAAGCCGAATCCCAAAAATGATAGGAATTAATTCATAGAATTAACTTGAAGCATGGGCAACGGTTTTTTTTTTTTTTTTTAATAATGAAGATAGGAGAGGAATCAGGTTTTGTATAAATTCAGAATCGAAGATCATATCAGATTAAAAATAGGATAAGATTTGATATTAAAAAATCAGATTGTAATAACTCTCCAATCAAATTCATATAACCAATTCACGGGCCCATTTATTTAAAATTAAAAGATAAATAATTTTTAGATAGTTTAACATTTTATAAAAAGATATTTATTTTGTAAGAAATTTTATGAAAAACTGATATTATTTTATATTTGCTTACAATAATAAAAATTGATTATTATTTACTTATTTTTAGACTTTATAGTATCTGTATGGGTTTCTATTTTACAAAAAATATTTTATAATATCTTCATGTATTTTAACATTGTTAATACATTTTCTTTTATCTATCATCTATTGCGTTAGATTATTTTTAAAAATTATCTAAAGTAATCTACAAATAATTAAAAATCTGTTTTTTTTTAAGATTTGATTATTTTTAAAAATTTAAACAAACACTAAAATCTTACAAAATAATTTTTTTAAAAAGAATAAGTTCTTTTTTCGTGAAAAATGCTGAAAAAATAGGCCCCATATTAGATTTTAATAATCTTGCCAATCATGAATAAAAATCAGAATCGATTTCCACTTTTCTATAAAGATCACGGAAAGTATAAAAATACTTTCAATTTATTAAAATTTATTTATTTTGGAGTAAAAAAAATATATAGATATGATTTATGATCATTCTTTGCGTTTCCATACAAGAGCCTAAGGTTTAATATTTTATAGTTAAGGTAAGACTCACATGAACTTGCGTTATGTTCTCATTCAAATTATGTATTGACTTAAAGCCAAAAAAAAAAAAAAAAAACAGTAAAACAAACACCTGACGTTTTTTTATCCCAAATAGCATTTAACTTCTTCCAAACTTGAATTAAATTATTTAATTTTTTAAATGTAAAATATATAATAAAAATATTTTTTAAGAAAATTTAAAAATCATTGATATCAAGAATAGATAAAGTATAATAAATGATTATATGGTCAATATGTTCCAACCTATTTTATTTTATAAAAATTCACTTTTTATACCCAATAAATGTGTTGATTAAGAACAAGGCCCGTGATAGAGGCAATACAATTTCCTAAGGCTCCAAAAAGAAAAATTATGAGCTTCCAAATGTATGTGTGTGTGTGTGATGTATGTAATTATGTGCGCGCGTATATATATAAATATATATTTTATTTTTTCCAAAATTTTCTATTATTTATTTATTTATACATAGAAACTTTTTTATTACCAAAAAATAAGATAAAGATATCTTAAATTAATTTAATTTTATTTTATTTTCATATCTTAATTAAATTTCAAAAGTTTAAATACAGATGGTTTTAATTTATTTTTATAATTAAAGGTAGTAAGAGAAATATTAATATAAAAACAATTTAAAACTCTAATGGAGGAATGAAACTATACCACAATTGACAAGATTAATTTTTTTAGATATTTACATTACTAATTAAGTATTAATAATAATACTCATATTGGTTTCTGATTGTTACAAAATTAAAATAAATTAAATTCTATATGTTTAATTATATTATAAGATAAGATTAAAAGAAATTAGCTATATTCACCCAAAAAATAAATTAGCTTTATCATTTATTATGTGAAAGCTCATGATTGCTCTATTGTGAAACTTTGATAAACTTAGTAATTCAACTAGAAAAATGATATAAAAATTAATAAATTATGAAAGACCAAACCTTTCAATTATATTTGTTCGATGTCCCAAAATTTCTTGACATGCACTTAAGAAATTTGAAGGATAAATTGCCAATATTCCCTTCAAATTTTTTTTCTCCTAGATGCCCTCTTATGTTAAGGTTAAGGATGATGCAATATCTGCTCATATATTAAAAATATAGTAATACCATCTATTTGCTAAATGTCAATTAATTTAAACATTAGTTTTAAAAAATTATAGAAAATAACCTAAAAATTTAGGAACACATTGCTATAAGAAAAATTAATATCAACAAAATCTCCTAACTTATAAATAAATGAAGAATGTTATTTTTTTTAACTCAAGTAAAAAATTAAAATACCATTTTAACCAATTATCAGATAATTACAGATTACTATTGTTAGCAATAATATTTGTAGATAATTTAAAAAAGTTATGTTTGTTTTAATACTATTTTATTGAAATATTAATAATTTAAATATTATTATTTAAAATAGACTCAAAGCAGGCTTGCCGTTTGGAACTCACGCTTATTTCTTAATTTTAAATTAGATCCTTAAACATTTTTCTATTCTTTTTATTGGTTCATTTTAGTTTCTGTCATCAGATTCATTACTTCCTCATGTTTAAAACTGTTAAGGAGGGATTAATAGCATTAAAAATCCTGTTAAAGAGCACTGATCTGGCAAACAACTAGTTTATTTTCACAATTGATCAGGTTAAAAAAAAAAAAAACAGACAATAAGTCTGATTGAAAAAAGCAAGTTCAATCTAATGAATCCCTAAATTTTTTTTCCCATAATTTTTTTCTTAAAAAAAAAAATTATATGCCATTGGGCCAAAACCATCACATGTTAAAATACCTTAAAAGTGCAAGAATCAAGAAAACAATAAAATGTACACAGTTTGTGTGCAGCCTTGCATTAAAAATGTAAAATGACAAATTTACTTTTAAATTATAGATTTATGAGTCATGACACATGAGATTTTAAACTTATTTTTAAATATTTATACTCTTATATAATTTAAAATCGTGTCAATCTCTCTTCTTTGTCAATTTTTACTTTTAGTTGACTAAAAAATTATAAAAAATGATATTAAAAATTATAAAAAACACTAAAAAAATAACATGAAAGGATCCAAAGATCATTTTTCTATAATTTTTAAATTTTTTATATTTTTTTAATCAACTGAGTGTCAAAATTAATAGAAGGAGATAAATTGTTATAATTTTAAATTTTTAAAAATAAAAACATATCAATGATACGTTTTAAATCTCAAATACTATAAATTTATAGTTTAATAGCAAAATTGTCATTTTAATCAAAATGAAAAATAAAAATACAAATCCAACTAGAACAATTTATTTTTTGGTAAACAAATTAAAATAATTTAGAAAATCATAAAATACAAAAATTGAAAGGGTATTGTAATAATATCAACCATGCATATTTCTAAGATTTCTGCTTCCCCCTAAGAGTGATATAGCTCCGCCTTTGAATCCATCTCCTTGTCTCTGCGTTTTCATCTGCTGTTAGGTGAGATCTTGTTAATGCTCGTTCTGTTTCTAAATTACTTTTATGCGTTGTCTCTACTATATATATGAATCCATATATGTTTTGGTCATCATTTAATTATCTGATTTGGTCTCTATTCACAGCAATTATTAAATTTTTAGAAATAATTTATGCAGATTGACATACAAGACTTGCCATTGAAGAACTGGGTGCCTTTTGCTTACCTCCTATACCTTGAATTCGGGCTAGCGATTCATTAGGTCTCGCGTCCTAAATCTGTCCACGAAGGCAAATGGTAAGTTTCTCCCAATCTTGAAATCATTATATTATTACCGATAGAAACTGGATCTCGCCCATAATTATGCTCTGATTTGATTAATCAGATTTCAGTGTAGAATTGTTGTTTAGTATTGATTATTACGTTCATGTTATTTCCAATTTCACTTCTGCCTGCTGGTCTTCTCTTCTTCTGGTGATGAGTAGAAACCCTTTGACTAACTTTAGAATTTTTAGTTTTATGCCACACGGAAGTCATTTCTTCTGGTTCTGATTTACCATCCGAATGAATCGATGTTCTTTTTGTCGCTCATACATTTTCACGATAAATGCATTTTCCTTCCAAATACATGTGCTGTATGAGTTGCAATCGCGATCCGCTAACTGGGATCCCGCTAATTTCGAGATCTGAGTGCCCTGGTGAATTGGTACATTGACCCTTTCGATTTATTCAATGATTTTCAACTTCCGTGTGTTCAGATTTTTTAGAGAGAGGATTTGTATATCTAAAGGAGCAGAAAAATGGTGAAGAATCTGTTATCCCCTGATGCTAAGCGTCTTTTTGTTATTTCTGGCTAGTAGATTGGGCGATATTCCGTTAGATCAATGATTTTAGCTAGTACATCTCTTTTATTGCCTTTTAATAGTAGCTAGAGAAAATTGTAAAAGCTATATATGCATGGTGAAGCATTGAACCCTGTATCGCACAACTTTTTGTTCTCCCTCCGCCTTTCTATAGTGCTTTTTCATTACAAAGTAGTATTGTGAACAAATTAGAAAATCCATACAACCTTAGCGTTCTCAAAATTTTTCCTCCAGCTTGACCTAAAGTTTACCCTGAACTACATTAACGTGGCTCAAATTTTCTCAAGGGCTTCACGGTTGGCCCCCTTTACTAGTTGATATGTATTACTTCCCTTCCTTTATTAGGGATCTTGGCTGATTATTAAATGCAGGTTTTGTCAAAAGAAAAGAGAAAAAATTAAATAGAAGCAAAACCTTAATATGTTTATATTTGGAACCTCTCAATTTTTTAAAAATTGACTTTTCAGTTTCAGAAAGAAATAGCTGCAATATGCCTGTGTACTCAGTTGAGTGGTAGACTCCACTTAAATAAGGACTCCCAATGTGTTTGAATATTGCATACGCTATGTCTTTCTCTCTGCAGAATTGATACCATTTCTGAAGATGGCATCCACTATTTGTTCTCATCGTACTAAAATGCACATGACTTTATGATAACAGGATAGGATGTCTTTCCCCATAACCAGGACAATCTGATGCTTGAGCTCAGAACACTTCAGCCTTTAAGTCGCCTCCTTGAATGTTATGATTATTAACTTGTAATATTTAATGTGGAGGTGACAGAATGGGGCAGTGTTATTATTTTATTTCTGCAACTCTGCATCATGTTATTTAACTAATGTTATTGATTTGTTTCCATTCTCATCATACTTTTTTGCTTGGGTACTTTTAGATTCACTTTGTGCTGCTTATTAGCCGTCAAGGGAAAGTGAGACTTACAAAATGGTATTCACCATACACACAAAAAGAAAGAACAAAGGTAATTCTAGTGATCATGTTTTCTATTTCTCATTTTCCAAAGATTATTAGCCACCTCAGTTCTTCATACAACTTTACATTAATTGACTACAACTGGGCACACCTCTATCTGATTTTAGCTTTAATTTATCTGACATAATTAATGATGTTACTTTTGTATTACATCTTGTTGAATTCATTTTATTTCATCTTGATCCATCTCTATCTATGAAATATCTGTTTTCAAAAGGTTATCCGTGAGCTCAGTGGAGTGATTCTTTCTCGTGCTCCCAAGCTCTGTAATTTTGTAGATTGGAGAGGATATAAAGTTGTTTATAAAAGGTATTTTACCAACCAACCATGGCCTTTTCATCCTATACCACTACTCCTTTGAAGAGCACGGTTCTTGTTGTCTTGATAATGATTAATTGATTATTGTAATGGATGTCCTGTGCAGATATGCTAGCCTCTACTTTTGCATGTGTATTGACCAAGATGATAATGAATTGGAAGTGCTTGAAATAATTCATCATTTTGTTGAGATCCTTGATCGGTATTTTGGCAGTGTGAGTTCTTTAAAGCTTTCAATGCCTAAGGGCACTGATTATATTACTTAGACATATTTCCCATTTTTTCATGGAAAGGATCTTAGAATTTCATGTCTTCTTTAATTTAATATTATAAATATAAATTATTTTTACCACACCATTTGCAGGTATGCGAGTTGGACTTAATATTCAATTTCCACAAGGTTTGTGCACTTATCTCCTGTTAGTCTGTTAACAGTTATTGATGATTCATTCAAGAAGAATCAACTTCAAATGTCAGATTTTTTAGGTTACATTGATGTCTTTGTCCCTTAAATTAGAGATACATGCTAACTTGGTTTTCTAATTTCTACTGGTATCATATGTATTCTAATACATTGTTTTTGTCTGCCAAGATTTGTTCATTGATTTGTTTATATCATTAAAGGCCTACTATATACTGGACGAACTTCTAATTGCTGGTGAGCTTCAAGAGTCCAGCAAGAAAACAGTTGCACGGTTGATAGCTGCGCAGGTATGAAATAACTAGAAGTCTCTGTCAATTTTATTTGGAAGGTATTTTCTTTCTGTAAACCTGGAAGAGCATAGCATTTAATGTTTTGGGTTTCAGGATGCATTGGTGGAGACTGCAAAGGAGGAAGCCAGTTCATTGAGTAACATAATTGCACAGGCCACCAAATGAGTGAAGTCAATGACATTATTTCTTGCCAAAATGATAGGCTATAATGTGCTGATTCTGCTGTTTTGGGTTGAATTTTAAATTTCTTATGGTTGGCCTTGAATCTCTGTTATGTATATGCTGCTGAGATGTCTATTGCTGGTGATCCAAGCTTCTTAAACACTTGGAGTTAGAGTATTTTGCTTTCAAAATGAAATTTACTAGTGTGCGTATCTTTTTGGTTTACTAGCGGCTGAAGCTTCTGTTTTCTCCCTGCATAAGATCAGAAATGAAATCTGGAACATACTCCAATTCTGTGTTGTAGATGCACCTCGAAATTATTGTTAATGTTTTTTCTCGCAATGCATTGTTTTTTAACCCTCTTGAAGGACGGATACGAACTTTGAGTGTGGTTTTTGGATAGAGAGAGTCACCCTCTGAAAGGACTGGCAAATCTGCTCTCCATCTGTGTCAGTGTTCTGTATTTATTCATATTTTCACTCACTGTCATTTGTGTTTATTGTAGTTGAAGTGTCTCAGTAGTCTTTGTATCAAGCTTTTATGAATCAGGGAGTTGCATTTGTGATTAGAATGTTGAATTCTGTTCTTCATAATATGGTCATTTTGTGTGCTGTTCTTGGGCAAATTGATGCCTTTCCTCTGATCTCATCTTCACTTTCTCCTGTCCTTTTTATAAGAACATTGTGAAGAGTTCGTCTCAAGCTCTAGATCTTTTTTAATAAAACCCTTCTCAAATTATTTGCTGCATGAATTATTTTTTTCATTAAAATGCCCTTAATTAATTGGGTGGAAAGATTTTAATTAAAGAATGGAGTCTCTTTAATTTTAAGGGTAATTCTGGTTGACAAATTCATGGCTGCATATGTGCATCATGTTATTCAGTTGCCATTCTTCATTTGTTTCCAATGTCATCTGACAAAATAGTATTCATGACCTCTCACTTATAGAAGACTTTTTATGTCACTGGGCCACAAGATCATTAGCAAACATTTCAAAATTTGGCACACAAATGTGAACAATTTACAACCCTTGTTCTTCGATTTAACCTAGACAAACCAAACGTCCTCAATTGAAAATTGATACTTTGTTAGTCTTAAAATAAAATGAAATGATTCTACTGGTCTCAAGTGATATTGGCCATTATCTTTTGTCCAATGAGAATTAGTTGTTGCCATGCTATATTGAAGCTTACATTAATGGCTTAAGAGAGAGCGTGCGAGCGCACAGACACACACAAATTTAGAAACACCCATAATTTACGTTTCTTTATTTATGTGGCCATGAATAGTGAGAGAGATTACAAGACGCTATTACTATATACTATAGCCTAACAAAACTTTGCAAAGTGGCTCATTTAACATGATTACACCAGAACCATTATCTGTCTATTATTATAAATAGAATAGAATAGGAGATTAGGCTGTGACTTTTGAGCGTGTTTTTAAATAAATGACTAGATGTGTTAACCGGATTTCTTGTCACACACCTAATGATAATTTAGATGCTATATTTTTTTCAGATTTATCCTTAGGGTGCAAAAGTATTATTTTCTTTGACATAAATTGAATATTTTTCACATGATGTTTTTGTGGCCTTGTATTCAAAATCTTTTTTTAATTGAGAAAATGAAAAGACTTGGTCGGTCAATTTATCCAAATTTATAAAGTAATTTTAGTTAATTTTTTAATTTTGTTAATTTTTCAACATTACATATAAATTTAATTGCTATTTTTTAAATATTTAAACAGAAGTTATTTGGATCCTTTCATTATTTAAATTAATTTCATTTTATTCCTTTAGGACTAAATTGAAATTTCAAATTTTATTGGGTCTTATTTGTTATTATGTCACATTCTTGATCCTTTGGTGAAACTCTCCCTCAATTTTTCCCCAATTAATATAGTTTGTAAAAAATTTTATATTACATATTAAATGGATGGAAGCATTTATTGATTGAATATGAAGTATCATATATAAATACCTATATATTTACAAAATTTAAGTGGCAGTGTATCCTATGAAATTATCAAAATGCCCTACTATATTAAAAAAAAGGACCTAAAGAGTTAGTAATTTGGGCAAGTTGAGTTTATTCAGAACGGATTTTAAGTATTCCATCCTTTCTAAAAAGCAAATATAGCCAAACTTGGTTCTAACACTTTTGAGTTTTGGGCTTATTCAGACAGGTCCAAATACTCAAAACTTTTTAAAAATATTTTTTTTCTTTATTTTTTGAATCAATTTTAATTTTTAAATAATTTTGTTTAGCATAAAATATTATTTTAAATTTAAAATAAAAAAAAAAAAAAATAATAACTTATCAACTTTGTACTTAAATAGCTCTATTATTATTTTGTTATATTATGTGTAATTTATTCATAAATGTTTTCTTTACTTATAAATTAATATTTTAGTTGTTTAAGTAGTACTCTTATCATGGTTATATATAAATATTTTATATATTTTAATTAAATTATATTATTTTAATTATAATTAAGTTGATCTCAATTTACGGTTAGACTACTAACTTAAAATTATTATCTCAATTAATTCAAAGTTTTTAATAACTTTTAGATAAATTATACTTTTTGTTTTTAAAAATATGAGAAAAATAGCCATCATTATATTATATAAAAAAAAATTATTTAATTATGAGTAAAATAATTTTTTTAAGAATTATTTTTTTTAACTTTTTATATTGTTTAACCCTACATACATGAGGTATTTACTTTAGTTTATTCTTAATTTTTAATTAAATTTGGCATGGATGATAACCAAATAATTATTTAAAATATTTTTCTATTTATTATGCTTATCTAATAGTAGAGTTGGGGATTCATATATGCCCAAATTTTATTTTTAAAATTATCTTAAATTTTATTTTTATTTTAAAATTAATTATCTTATTTTATAAAAATATAAAATATATATTTTTGGATACGTAAATGATTTATAGGATTCAAAAAGTTTTAAAAAATTGGGTCTTAAAATATGAAAATTAATATTAAAATATATTTTAAATATTATTTTGAGATATTTTATTGATTAAAAATAATAATAATATGAAAATATAAATATTTTAATTTTTTTAAAAATAACTATAGTAATACACTTAAATATATAATATTTTAATATGAAATGACATAAAATTTAAAGAATTAATTAATATTTATTATATTTTATATATTTTTTAAAAAAGTTATTTTTTTATTTAGATATTCAGACTAAGCCTAAACCCAATCGGACTTGGCTCAAATTGTCTCAAAACATTAAAGAAATTATTATTTTTTTTATGTAGGTGCGAGTTTATCTGTTGGAGTTGACCTAAATTATTGACTCTAACCTAAACAGAAAGATTAGTTTGTTCGGCTCTTCAAGTCACCATTTTTACGTTCGAGCTCTTCAACATTTATGCAAAATGATGAACTAGGAAGAGAATCTGCACTTGTAATTCATTTCAAAACTAAAACTTGTGATTATATATTGCCCAGTGTCTTAAAACTTTCAAAACTTTTTCAATGTTCCTTAACCTTCAGCTTATTCGGATATTCCTTGCACTGAACTAGGTGAATGATGAACTTGCAGATTCGTTGTTCCCTCATTCATTTCATTTCTGGTTTTTATAGTTTATGGGTAGTTTATTGTATTGTGGCCTCTCTCTTTCTCCATTTTTGAGTACATATTACATCTCTTTTTATTTATAGAAGAAACTATCATTTTTAACTTCTTTTTTTATATGATCAAAATCACATTTTTCAATAAACATTTATTACAAACTTCTTAAATTATCCCTTATAATTTTATTATTCATAGTCATAAGAAACAATTAATTAAGACTTAATTAATATAATTAATAAAGGGTATTTTAATCCAATTCTTTTATTTTCAAACATAATTAATAAAGTTAACTGATTTTTTTTAAATTTTGTGATATAGTTTTTTCTTCTATAGATAAAAACCGAGGGAATATGTTGTTGATTTTCATTGATTTTAGATGGCTATAATGGTGTAAACCTAAAGCTGGTACAATGTGAATATAGTGCAAATCCTCTGTTATGGAAAAGATAATTTGTGTTGTCAATACCTTAAGCTTTAATTGTAGATATGGTAAGATTAGTGTTTGCTACAAGTTGATATGCTATATGGCTGACATTTTTGGGAAAACAACTATTTTTTTTTTTATACAAGAGGACAAATTTTGAATAATCTACGAGATGGAATGCAATATATATATATATATATATATATAAATGAGGAGAAAGGAAGAACAAGAATAATAAAGCCAGACTTCTCTGTATTATGATAAAGTCTCGCGGGCTCATATTAGGCCTGACACAGCATATAAACAAGGCACAACAAAGGTTAAGAGTTGATGGTCAAGTGAAAACTGAGGAATTAATTGAGGAAGAAAATAATGAAAATGGGAAAGCGTGATATATAAAAATATTTTGCTGTGTAAACAAAGTTTGTAGAGTGACGAGGAGATCCATTATTGCCCTGATGAGTAAAGTTGAAGGCCATCTTATATTTACACTTCTTCCAATCACAATATAAAACTTTAGTAATTAATTCACTATTTTTAAAAAAATATTAGTTAAAATTTAAATTTTAAAAAAAATTTACATAATTTTAATTATACCTTTATTAAATATATTATACAAGTTTTTTTATAATTAAAATTAAAATTTTAATAAATTATTTTTTTAAAAAAATAAATAAAATGGAGATATAATTAACAAATTAATTATAAAAATTACTTAATATTCTATATTTGAGGTTAGAAAAAACATTTAGAAGATGACCAACGTTGCAGTGGCTCCCTACACACGTATACAAATATAATTTTTGATTCTTATACATATTACGCATTTTATTTTTAATTTTTGTACTTTTTTAATATTTTAAATATTTAAATTTTTATTTTTTATTTTTTTATGAATAAAGTGTAAAAATTTTGAAGAGATCGAAAATAATAAAAATTAAAAATTTAAGAATTTAAAATATAAAAAATATAAAAATTAAAAATAAAATATAAGTAAAGTATAAAAATTAAAAATTATATTTTTTTTTAAAGTGCGCGCGCCCGGGGGGGGGACGCCAGCATCCTCCTCAACCTCACCTCCCCATCCCTTCTTCTGACATCCTCTGTGAAGAGGGGTAAGCTGATGAGAGAATATGCATCAACATAAAGGAATCAAATTTCCCCTCTCTGAAGATTCTGCCAACTTTGTTTTGAGCGTAGTTTGAAGTATCAGAGGCCGATTGGAAAAAGCACTTCAATCTTCAAGCTGCTTTCTCCAGGA